TGTCAGCGCCTGGGACTTCATCTCGGAGAAAAACCCATCAGCTTAATCTGAAGGCAACCTGAACTTCATGCTTTGACGCAGATTTCGCAGCAGCCAAAGAATGCCCCTGCCCCAGGACGCAGCACCCGATGCCCTCCCAGCCCTTGCCCGCGGGAACGGAGACCTCGCCGCTTACCGAGGAAGAGCAGCAGGCTGCGGGCCCACAGGCAGCCGGCGTCCATAGCCCTCAGTGCCCAGGGAGCAGAGGAGGCAGCAGGGAGCGAGCAGGAGGAGGGAGGAGCGGTGTGGAATCGCCCGGCCGCCGGCCCGCACTTTTATGTGCCCGAGGAGAGGCGGGGCCGCTCGGCCCGCCCGGCTCGGCAGAGCGGGTCGCTCAGCCTCCGCGCTTCCTGCTTGAATCGTCCTCGGCGCTCGGGCCGGGCCAAACGGGGTCGACCCCGCTCTGCCCGCAGGCGATGCCCGACAGCATCGGGCACGGTCAGAGCCGGGAGCGGGGGCAGCTCTGCCCCCTACGGCCGTCAGCCTGGTGCAGTCGGTGTCCCTCGTTCCCGCAGGGAGCACTGCAAATGGTACCTGGGGCCGTAAAATCACCCGAGCCCTCTGAGCGGTTTAGCCCGGGCACTGATGCCCAGGACTTCCCGGGGATGTGGATGCCTACGGCACAACCTCCGGACCGCTGTCTCTGCTTCTCCTCAAAGCATCCATTGCGATGTGCAATGGGACGAGGCCCTGCGGACCCAGGGTAGACCCTGCCGGCACTCAAAGGATCACTGGGCCATTGCATTGCCACGAACAGCACCTGTGCCTAAAGCAAGGTTAGGGAAACACCCCAGGGTGGGCAGCTGGAAACGTGCTGGCCTAATCTTCCAACTCCTGGCATTTCAGAAGTGACCCTCAGCACACAACTGCCAGAGAGTGCCGGAGCTAGGGGCAGAAATGGTTTATTAAGTCACAGCCAGGCACCAGGAGTGCCAGCACCTCACCGGCCCCTGAGCTGGCCGCAATGGTCTCGGGCTAAGGGGGTGTGTGTGCCACGTTCCCCCTCCAGCCCTTGGCCCCATCACGACACAGCAGCACAGGCAGTTCCTGGAAGCAACACTTCTTTCAGTTCTAAGATCCTTGCAAGAGCAGCCAACCAGTTACAGCTACTTTTTAAAAGATTCCTTTCAAGCATCCTGTTGAAGCCCACACACTTTGCCGCTGTATTAGGCAAGACCTCGTTCAGCAGTTAGATCCCACCATCAGATGACGGAGGGATCCCACCCACCAAATCCCTACTGCACACATTTGCCTAAAGTATGAAGTGTGTTTCACCTCAACAAACAGCTCAGCAATGATGGTTTACTACTTTTCCTTCTAAAGAAAAAATCATCTTCCCCAGCCTTACCTCCCTCCCTAAAGGCACATCGATACCCAGTTTATTGTGGCACTGATAAGCTTCTGTCGTAGTGAAAAGAACCTGAGTATTGGCTCTGAGCTGCACTGTGACAGCTGATGACTTAAGTGTCCCTAGTTTCTCTGCTCTAGAAGCAGTTATTGATACACGAGAGGTAAATGCAGAAGATACTGCAGAATACCATATACCACATATACCACAACTCCATGTGCAGAATGCAGTTCTAAGTAATAAAGACATTCATTCAAGGGGGCTGCAATAGATCGGCTACTTATGAATCATACCCCTTATTTCTGGAGCATTTTCTTAGTTCTCCAGCAGCTTGGAGAAGCTGAAGTGAAAAAAAGGCAGCACGTTGCCACAGAATTGTGTGTCAGCACCACTTACTAATTACCTAAATGGTATGAGAGTTGGCAAGATAAATGTAATAAGGCTCAGTGTGAAAGTAGCATTTAGGATACCCTCCACAGCAAGTGGGACATGGCATAGCTGGCATCTTTTTCTAAGTCCCCTTTTTTTCACCTACAATTAGTCATGCCATGTAGATGGTGTCTTTTTTGATGCCGCATGACTGTTTTTGTTGCTTAATTTGTGCTGATCCCCCTTATTAAGGATTTTATTGTCTGCTCTTTCGGGGATCATCATGAGTAAAGGAAGGAATAGCAATTATTAGCAACGTGTTTCTGCGTGTGGGCTTACGGATGCCTTAAAAAGCAGCATCACCGAAGAACTTCCACTTTATAATTAATTTTACCCTTAAATTCCTGCATGATTTATCCTCTGAAAGGCAACATTTAATTATAGTTTTGTACCGGTACCCAGATACCAAGTAACGCTGACACAATTGGAGCAATTCATTGGAATTTCCTCTTTGAGATCTGAATATATGGAAAACAAGTATCACGGACACATCTTTGCTTCATCTTTCTGTAATGCCCTTTGTTTCACAGCACCTGATTTCGCATCCGGCATCCCTGCGTGCGGCTTTCACCATCCCCTCCTCCACGTGAAGGATGCCTCTTGGGCTAAGGCTGGCACACACCTTAAGAGCCAGTTTTCCAAGAGGCCTTGCAGCATCAATGGGGTCATTGTAAGGCAGGCTCGTTGCATCCCACAGGTGTCGGTAGGAGCAACAAGTCTGTGCAATGCTGGGAGGCAGCACTGGTTGGGCAACAGAGCATCACGGGTGCATCTCCGCTGCTGGCCTCCATTTCAGCCGCGGTGAACCGGCACGCCCAGGGCAAGGCACCCATGGATTTGTGCCCCTTGGCACCTGACCACCGAGTAGCCCTCTGGATGCTTTGACATTTCGGGATTTTTTCTTTACAAAGTGTAATGAGAATATGAGGAAATACCTTAAGGAGTGTGTGAAAGACTTGCTTGCTTTTATTACCTTGCACCGCCTTAATAACCACCTTTAAAGAAAACCTCTCTTCACAAAGCACAGAGGCCCGGCTGAAGTCCTTGCAATGCCTCAAGCATTCATCTCCCCTTCTGGGACAGAACAGCAGATTCACAGCAGTGGTTATTGAAAGGGTAAGGACTGAGCCTTGTCTGTCAGCACGCCCATCACTGATGGCACACAGCACTTTCTATGAACAACATGTCCTTTTTGATTTAAAGAGCAAAAAACACAGCTTAAATGCATATTTTTTTCTGTGGTGTCTGTTTTCCTCACTTGCTGTAGAAGGATACACGTGTTCACAGCAATGAACTGTCACTTGATCTGTGTGTTTGTACATAACTAAAACCATACACAGGAAGTGTCTGTACCACTTACTTTAGCTGCCTTCTGTAGGACTTGCACCCAGTTTTATGCACTGCTTCTGTGGGCATGGATCTGCATTGGTTTCATCTCCTGAAAACAGAACAAATTTGAAAAAAATCAACATTTTTCTTGCTAGAAAGTATTTTTGAAGTGGAAAAAAAATCATCCCTAGTCTTGCACTGATGCACTCACCACTGTTGCACACACATGCAAAGTAACAGAAAGCAGCAATTTCATAAATTCCTGGGAAAATCACCCAGACTTTTTCAAACAGCATGAGTACACATGTCAGTACGTCTGTGAGCAGATTTACATGCAGCAAGCTTTCAATGCACAAAACGAGAGATGTTCAAGAAATACTCTCAGAAGGTCAGTCATCAGTTGGAATGCACCTCACTCTTGAAAGCGTTTTCATTTGAACTACACAAGATTAATATTAAGTTCCCAAAGGGAAATAAAAGGCATGTAGATGTGGCATTGGAGTCACAGTTCAGCAGTGGGCTTTGCAGTGCTGGAGGGGATGGTTGGACTCAGTGATCTTAGAGGGCCTTTCCAACTTAACTGATTCCATGATTTTGTGAAAATCATAAATGGTAAAAATCTTGTGAACGCAAATGCCCTAAGAAGGGAATGTATTTTTAACTGGGACACGTAGATGCAACCGTCTGGAGGAAATGGAGCAAAGAAAAACCTTGAGCCAAATTACTCCATTTAAAGGTCAGTTACAAATTTGCCATGAATGTGAGGGATGAATTAAACAACCAGTCTCTCCTATAAACTATGAGAGTTCAAATTCTGCACCCAGGGCTCAAAGTGGACGATGCCTCTTCCTGTAAACACAGCATGAGGTCAAAGTTACTGGACAACATAGATGTTTTGTTATTAAAAGTAAAGAACAATTCCCCAAATGTACTCATTTCTTTGCCAACTACTTGGGTCAGCATTAACCAGCAATTTTAAAAAAGAAAGGAAAAAAACCCCAAGCAGCTAATTCTCATCCATCTCAGAAAGAGGCCCCAGCTCATGCTGCATTCTTCCCTAAAGGGCAGTTTTTAAAACTTCATTCTCCTGGCTTGTATGACTTCGCCATTACTCTCCCCTGGGCAAATCCTGAATGGCTCAACACATCTCATGGGCAGCAAGAACTTCTTAATGCTCAGCTGGTGATTTCCCTTTCCTAATTACAGCCCAGTGCTCCATGCTGAGTGATTTCTTAGCCTCTGAGGGGTTGAAGCCTTTCTCATTTGTGGAGTCTTTCCATGGCTTCTGCCTTTACTTGGTGCTAAACAAACCCATGCCCTTGCTGAGACTGCTACCAAGCCAAGTCCCCCCATATCACTGTCCCAATATGTATGAATTGTTGCTCCTTGCTTTGGGTGAACTGTTTAGAACAGTTACATAGAATGGAATAATAGAAGGACAAAGCTTGAAGCAAAGGGGATTTCCCTACAAGATGTAGCAGGTTGCAAGCGAGCTGAGAGAACACCAGCCCCTTACCCATCAGTCCTGTGTTCTGTCCATCAACACCTCTTTTGACTTTATAAAGTCATCTCTTCCACAGAATTTCTCGTTCTCCAGTGATTTACTGCTGAAAGACAGAACATATGCAAAGATAAAAATTGCCTTCTCTGCCAAGTCACCATGTACACACACGGGTGCATCATTTACGCCCCTGACTGGTGGCCAGGAGAACTGAAATTTCTACATGGCAGAATGTTCCTGGTGGGTGACTCCATGGCCCACTCACTCCACGGCTCTGCCCAGAGTGTGACATCCACCTCAGGGCAGTGAAATGACAGCAAACCCACTGCGATGGGGACCGTTGTGACTCAGCAGCTGCTCTCAGGCTTTCTGCACAGCAGTCCCTCCTGGCTCTGGGCTCTCCATCTTGGCCTGCCTTGCCTCTCCCGTAACTCCCATCGGGACGGCTGGTGCCAGCATGGGGCAGACAAGAGGAAGACACTGTCAGGGAGAAGCACAGACCTGCTAAAGCCTGGCACCAGCCCCTAAGGCCTGCACTAAAGCCTGAGCAACATGCGCTGCACACACACCATCAGTAGAGCCTCCGACTCTTCACTGCTCCATCTGGGAATCTTGGCCGTCCCAGGCCTCAGCTGCATTGGCTTCAATCCCTTTGGCAAGTTTATTTTGGCCCTTGATAAATATTTTGCTCTTACATCTCAAGCATACATGAGCAGAGGAAGGGCTCACTAGCAGGCCGTTTCCCTGTCGATGCTTGGCCTGCTGAATCCAAAGCAGCCCTGAGCTGTGACTCACCTCATGCCCCAGGTCCTGCTCCACCACTGGGACTTCAGCTGTCTGCAGACTCCACGTTTTGGCTGCAACACAGCAGTGACTGTCACCTGCACGCCAGCCAGGCACATGGGGAGCTGGGGCACCCTGGACAGGAGCAATGTGTCATTAGGGATGATGGAGTAAACAGCAATCCACCTGAAACCAGCTTAGCCAGCACATGTTCCAGAAACCAAATCTAGGAAAGAGCCACAGGTCTCCCAGTGTATTTGTTTGGCCTGGTAACCAGCACTAAGCATTGTAGCAGATCCACTTAGTGGAATTCCCCCATCCACTAACATTAAGGGACACTCCCACTACTGTTCTGATAATTACTGTTAATCATTACTATTACTGAAGTGACAAAAAAAAAAAAAAAAAAAAGAGGCTGTGAAGAGGATCAGGCATCAGGCCTTTATTGTGCTGGCTGTTGTCATGCAGAGGTGATGAGACAGTTTGCCCCAGGGAGCCTATAAACACAGGTGCCCAATTCCTCGCTGCAGTCATATTTCAAACTAGGACACTGTGGTCCCCAGTGAAGCTCTCCTACAGCTCCAGCAAAAATAATCCATGGCACTCCCTCCAGCTCACATCAGCTGGGAGCCAGGCTGGATATCATGCTCTCTGCCTGCAGGTAGATGGGAAAGAAGCTGATCAGGAATACTTTGGCATTGCAACACCCAACAACACATTTCCATTCGGTGTTTTCCCTGACTGGGCCCAACCTGCTGTGAAACTCCATATTCTTTGATCTCCGGTGAATTCAGTACCACCAACTCTCGAGAGCCCATGAGTCACATGGTATGTGGAAACCTCTAGGGTTTGGTTTGGGAATGGCCAAGACTATGTGAAATCATCTTCTAGTCACCTTCTTCTCCTCCCATCAATGGTCTGAACATCATCTCAGGTATCCAAGTCTCCCTGGACACCGTTCCTAGGTCACACACGGAAGAAATGGATTAGCCAACTTATCCACTGACTGGGTGCTGACTGGAAGCCACAGGGAAGGACTGTAGGCCTCTGTGGGGCTGAGAAGGACAGGGAGAGCTACTGCACAGGTAGAAACCATCTGCCTACAATGCTGATTTTTCCTGCCATTGATGCAGGTCAGGCTGCTGTCAGCTACGAGCAAAGGAGACAGACCCCAGTTCTCTGCTCGGAGCTGGCTGTCCCCCAACCTATCTCAAGCGTGCAGCCTGGATTCCTCTCACACTAAAAAGCAAAATAAAAGGTGCTTGCATATTTCTCTGCTCCCTCAGCAAGGAGCTGTGGGTTTGCCCAAGGGCCAAGGGGAGGAGAAGGCCCAGGCCCCGGGGAACTTGTCCCGTCTCTCCATCCGTGGGTACAGAGGGTGCTGTTAGAGGTGCAAGTCGGAGGTGGGACAAGACAGGAATCTGCAAGTGGATGTCCCGGGGGGGAGGTGGCAGCAGCCAGTTGTGCTGACTGTGCCACTTCCCGCCTAACTCCTCCATGTGGTATCTACACATCCACCCCCTCGTCCTCGTTCCTGCAGCTTAAAGTTATTTAAGAGAGGCAGATTTCCATTATGACACTGGGAGCGCATGCGTGTAAATCAAGTGGGACAGGACAAAAGCCAGGGCTGGGTTCAATTAAATCAGAGGTGCTATTAAATTAACAACAGCACTAAGCTATGGCTGGCTGTTTTTGATCAATCCTCCTGCAGTCAGGGTCTTTGTCCTTCATATAGGAAATTAAAGGCTAGGGAACAAGGACGAATTAGCCAACCACAAATTTGGTCTCTGAATTTCACTAAACTTCTGAACAACAATAGTTCCTCTGTAGGATTTTCAACACATATCCCTGAGAACCCCTTTTTTGTGAGGCTGCACATCGGATGCTCAGGATGAGACATTTTTGGCCCCGTTGCAGCATGCCTGCAGCCGAGATCACCCCCTCAAGCACCACAGACTCACTTTCCAGCTCCACACCTGGATTAAGCTACCCTGCCCAAACCCAACACACGAGCAGCCTGACATCAGCCTGAAGCCCCATTAAGCCAGCACAGGAGACAACCTGTCTGAGGTGAAACGTGCCAGACCTGAGAGCCTGTGCAGAAGACAGCTCTGCTCTCATGTCTCCATCCTGCCTCCTCAACCTTTCCCCCTGTTCTGTTCCAGTAACATTCCTCTTTGTGAACCAGGAGAGAGATTTCCAGGAAGAGCTACAGTACACAAAGCTCATTACCCATCTTTCCAAACCAGCCACTCTAAAGGGCGCACACAGGTTAACTAAACTAAACCAGAGGTCTCTGTGCGAGCCTTTCCCAGTGTCTCATGCTGCACCTTATGCAAGGCGCTGCTCATCACTGCGTGTGTCCAATGAGAGCGGAGCAGCTCTGACTGCCGTGTCACATCATCAGAGCTGCCCACTGCACTGCTCCTGCCACAGCTGCCTTTTACGCACATCTGAGTAACAGCACAGCCTTTGGGCAACGGCCTTCGATTGTTTACATGGCTCCCATAAACAGGATATCGCCAATTTGTAAATATGCTGTCAGAAGCCCCTCAGCTGCACTTGACCAGATTGATACATGCCCGCCTGCAGCAAGTCCGTCTGTCTCTCCTGCGGCTTCACTGGTAGTGTTGCACAAGCCGTCCTGACCACGCATTGCCTCTCACGGTACATACCAAGACTTCTACTTCATGGCTTCTGCAATTGTTTGTAGAGTTGGTGCATTTGGGGAGCATTTGCTGGGGAATTTTAAATCAAAGGAATGATACATGACTGTTGGCACTGTTTCCCAGAGGCTCATGCTATGTAGTTCTCACTCAGGTAGAGAGAAGGCAAGGGAGTTACACTGATATGAATGCTTGTTGCTACATCTTACCTAGAGAGGTAATCCCTAGAGGTAGGGATTTTTTTCTTTCATATAAACAATCCATTCCAGCTGAATAAAGACAGTGACACACGGAGAAAGATCTCAATTTTCTTGTGAGTTTCTTCAGTGTCGCAAAACAGGGTTTTTTGATGGTCAATAATGAGGTAACTGTCTGTAATTTGCACGTTTTCTGCAGTAAATCTAAAGATACCTTTCAAAAAGAAGTCATAACACCAAACACTTATGGTTTGGCAGTGCATCTCAGGACAGAACCTCCTAGCAGAGCTAGAGAGAAACCCAAAATTCCCTATCAGCTAAATACTTTATTAAAAGCAAGGCCTATCCTGGTTGGCTCATATTTGACTAACTAGGTAGCCAGCTCTAAGGGATGGAGGAATTGCTTTCATGCAGAGGGAAGCTCCAGCTTGGAAGCAAACAGGAGAACAACACTAAGAACTGTTAGTGCAGAAGTAGAAGCACTGAGTTGCGTCACTGCTCATCCACAAGCCGCTACAGGGAGCGTGCTGATGCCGAGCAGTCTGACAGGGCATCCTTAGCTCCAAAAGCAGGTGCCTTGAACAACTGTAACTCCAGGCTACAGTCGTGGTAGCATCAGGTCAGATGCCAGCAAAGCATTCAGCTACTTCCCCCAGACTGTGGCCAAAAGGACAAGACTCATATGCTAGGTCACAAGCAAGAAAACACTAGAGCAAGTCTCATGTCAGTCTGATTCCCAGCATAACCTCAGTGGTGCTCCCAAAACCTTCCTAGACAGGATGCTGCTTTCTTCTCCTCTGCTCCTGTGAGTGGCACAGACTGCTCTGGTGTCATCCCTACTGTCACCTGGAAATGTCAGGCCTGTGTTACACCCCTCCAGCCCAACATTAGCACCGCTGGAGCAGCGACAGCCACATCTGAAATCGATGCTCGCTGTAAAGGAAATCATCGGGAACTTGTTTAATTTGAAACAAGGGGGGAAAGGCAGCAGTGTGAAGTCCTGACCCTACTTGTTCTAAGTGCATACTGCACTATGAACTCAGCTGGGATGCAGATTGCTTTGCAGATAGAGCAAAGGAGGAAGCTGTAACTTACACCCACTACAACTGTACCTACAGCCAAGGAACGAGATAACCAAATGCCCCTGGGGAGATATGAGAGGCATTTGAAGCATAAAAATTGCTTACCTTTCCCTTACCAGGTAGGCAGATAAACACAAATGTCTCTGTTCAATAGTGCCTGACAGTGTGGTGCAAGCCCTAAAAAGCCAAGAAAATTACGGCTTAGAGTAAACCATGGTGCAAGGACGTGCATCCCCAGTGACAGAACATGCCCCATTGTCTCCAGACGAAGCAGTTCCAGAGAACTGCATGAGTTGGCAGAGATCGTGGGCCCAGTGAGCGTGGGAGAGCAGAGGCTGATGCCTCTGTGCAGGACATGGAGTCTGTGTTTCACACGGGCATTCCCAGCTTCCCAGGTGCTGCACTGTGTTGAGACTTTCAGTCACGTGGCTGCTGGGACACACACAGCTCACCGCATGCTAAGGGAGGGTGGGAGCAATTTGCTTTACTGCTCCTGCCAAAAGCCTCTATTACTATATGTTATGAAAGCTCTGGAGAGGCAAAACATTCCTAAAACCACTTTATTAAAATTAGTAACACCCGAAACTCCCCCCAGTTGTTTATGGGTGGCAGGGCAGGAGGAAGAGCAGGCAAGGAGCAAAAGCCAAAAGCAGAGGCAGACAAGGCTCCACTTTCTCTGCAGCGTGACAGGCCAAGAGAGTCCAGATAATTTCAGCTGGATAATTTTCAGCTGGCTGCTGAAACGTTGCCCAGTTCCCCCAGTGTTCATACTGGGAGCAAAACTGGTTTTCCATCTACAGATGCAAAGTGTTACATACGGACTAAGTGCTGGTTTACCATACCCCAGCATCTCTGAACTACCTTCCAAGAGTGTAACACTTTGATCCCCGTGGCATCCTTGTAGCTATTGGGCTATTGGTCTGATGGCAGCGAGGAGGCAAGCACAGGGTCTGCAACTTAGCAAACATGTGCAGAGGCAGGGACTCCTACCTTTGTGCCTGTGTTCCACTCCTGCCCTTCTCATGGATCACTTCCTCTGTGGATGCTGAGCCAGAGCAGCACTGCTGCCTCCCAGGCTCCTGTTCCTGATGCTGCAATCCTGATCTATACTGTGGGAGAAGGGAAATTTAAGAGTGGAAAACCATCAGGCCATTCTTTTCCCATGCCATGACCACTCTGTCCCTAGGGCCTGCTTGCCCTGAGACACATCAGATCCTGTGCATGGCAGGCTTAGCCCAACAGTCCATGCTATTCCCTTTGCTGCTTGCTCACCCATAGCACAGGCTAAATAAACCTTTAGCTCCTGCCTGGCACCCACCTAGCTTGTTACCTTACAAAAGAGTCAGGAGCTATGGTCAAGCTCAAGCCTCTGAACTAACAGGCCACCTGAAGCAGATCAGGCTGGTTTTGTACCATCCCACTGTCCATGATATGCAGAAACCTCTGCTTTGGCTTCTTTGGCAGTGACTTGCATTAAATCATGTGGAACTGTAATTATGTCTTATTTATATTAATTGCAATTTCTATCAATTATCATTTCTGCATTCTGCACAGGACCATAGACCCTGGGGGAATTTGCCTATGGAAAGGACTGGACTAAAGCTCTGGTGCAGAATGAGAAGATTGTGCAAGCCCTGATCTGCACCTTTTGCACACAGACCTGCCCCTGTGCCAGGGCAGAGCCCCTTCCACTCCAAACCCTCCGCAGGCTGCAGGAGGGACACGGCAGGGGGCACGGGGGGTCCAACTCTCCCCCAGGTTGGCGGGGTTTGGGTTTCCCTGGGTTCTTTGAAGGACAATGGAACGTTTTCTGCAGGGCTTTCTGCACATGTACTGATCTGCATGAACCCAAACTCCGGGTCAACAAAGATTATTTTTATGAGAAAATAAAGACAAACTTGCTGTTCAACATTATCAAACCACCTGATATCTAGGGCAGAGCCTCAGCTCTTCATCAGCACAAGGTATGGTATGCACATTAAAGTCAGAGATTTTTTATCAGACACACACACTGGGCACCTCTGTCAATATTTGACCATATTTCTCCATGTCACCTGGACACCGATCACAGAAAATATCATTTGGCATAACAGGAATTCAGCACACAGCTTAAGTGCTGAAGGAAGGATGTGCAAATAATGAAGCAATGCACAGTCTTAAGTGTATTCCAATGTTTGGAAGACAAAGGGAATTCGTCTCCCAGCTGTGTCGTGTTTTCTTCGAATGAAGATACATATAACGATTAGTATTGAGGGAGAGAAGCAGTCTCAGTTCAAATCACTGAAATTATGGACAAGCACAGTCCCCAGGAACGCTGTGGCAGCCCAGGACTTCAACAGGCTTTAGCAGATTGTGCCTATACACACAAACAGGGCCAAGTGCCCCTGAATTTCCTCCTCCACCCAGGGTTTTTAACCTTCAAGTAGGATTCAAAGCACACTTAGATCTCCGAGTTGCTGTCAGTGAGTGTTGTACACGTTGGCTTCCATCTCCCATCTTCCTCTTCTTAGGTATCATGATACTTCTCACTCAAGAAGCCACCGCAAATAAATAGGAATTTTAAAAAATGCCACAGCACACAAAAGCCACAAACACCTAAATACCGGTGGACTGAAGGCAGTGCAAGTAGCCTGAGCCTGCATCCACTGAAGACAATAAATGCTGTACTACAGCCTGCAGCAGGGCTCGGAGTTAAGCCAGGGCTGACTGGGAAAATCAGAGCCATTCTTTATGATTAATTGTCTTGAAAAGCCTTCAGTAGAAGCACTCCACTAGTACATTTCACAAACCCTTAATGGTTTAAAAAGCAATCAAACTAACCTTGACTCGGAATCATCTTTTAAAGTCCTTTCAGGCTGCAGTTGGAATGCGGCACCTGAATTACTCGAGGGCACCTGCTCCTGGCAGGCGACACCTCTCTTGGGTAGGCCAGGAAGGATGAGGCTGAAAGGACCTCTGATGGGCCAGAAGGAAAAGGTCAGGGAGGAGAGCAAAGGGGACACCCAAGTGGGTCAGACCACTCCAAATTCCTCACTGTCATGCTGAGGTCACAGACACTTCTCTGCAGGGCCTGGAGTGTGTGTGTGTGTGTGTGTGTGTGTGTTGGTGTAAGGTCGTGCCCTTCCCCTGTGTCACTCTCCATTCTTCTTGGGAACAATCAGGAAGAAACCGCTGGTGTTTCTTGGCTCCTGCACACACTTTTCACGCACAGGGGAGCACCTGGCCCATAGAGAACATTTTTTTCCTGCTGTAATCTTGATGGAAAATGTCGTTAGCGATGGAGAAAGGAATTCAGGAGACGGCTGAGAAGTGCCTGAGGGAGAACTTTCATATCTATTTGCACAAGACACATCGTGAACATGCCACCAAAGAAGTCAAGAAAAGCATTAACAGGGCAAGGGGAAAGGGCAAGAGAATTTCCTTTCTTTCAGCTCCTTGGGAGTCCTACCTGTGTTCCAGAACATGGATTTGCTCCAGCAAACCCAGACGGGCTGAAAGGGCACTGCTTCGACAGCAGCAGCTGGCACTGCTGGAGTCATCCACCCTGAGACATAAGGTGGGCTAAGCAACCGAAGTATCGTGTCAGAACCACAAAGACTTAGACCAAAAATGCAGCACCTGAGATGCTGAGTACCCAAAAATCACAAACACGGACAAGGCCACTTGGAGGCCCTCCTTGAGTTTCCCTTCCTGAAGAGCCTCCCTTCAAGAAACGCCCATGAACATGCAGTGCCATAGCCTTGTAAAGAAGGGGAAAAGCACAACGTGCTCAGCCAAATCTCGCATGTTGTGGCAGGGCCCGTAACTCAAGGTCCCCATCCCAGCCCGTGTCACCGACTCATCCCGCCCTGCTTCCCCCGCCCAGAGGTGGCTGCTGGGCTGCCCGGCCGGAGCTCAGGGATGCACTCAAGGGAAGCGCTCGGCTCCTCCCTGTGGTGAAGCTGCCACAGCTCCCTGCGAGGCCCGGCTGCTGCCCCACAGCCTTTGCATTCGGCGTCGGCATCTATGAAGGCAGCTTCCCGCAACAGCGCTCACGGCCAAATGCGCTGCTGGGCTCTGTCAAACGCCACAAGTCAATAAAATGCCGCCCATCCATCGTGGGATTTGCCACAACAACGGCACACAAACAGGCTGAGCCTTACGTACTGAAATGATGTCAAACGAATTAGCTTTGCCCGAGTTACTCAGGCATTCTTGCAAAGCTCAGCCCTGTCCTCTCCTGTCTCAAGCCCGGCCGTGCTGTTTGCCAGAGGGAGCTGTGGAGAGGCCTCTCTGCACAGCAGCCTTGGGCAAGGAGGAGAAAGGAAGGCTTCTTGCATTCCCTGTGCCCCCCCAAACAAAAACACCTGAATAACAATTTTAAAAAGAAGTCAAAGGGCATAACAGATTTGGATTACCAAGGGCAAAGGAAACGCACCTGGCATTTGAATATCAGGTATTCAAAAGGCAGTAAACTGCATTTTTGCTTATTAAAGGAAAAAATACCTCCACTAGGGGATCTAGACAAGCAAACTTCCTTGTCAATATTCACCAGATAAATTCAACAAGAAGTTTTGATTAAAAATTAGCATTTAAGTGACTCAGTCTTAGACATGGAATCAAAACCTCACCTTTGGACACCATGAACTTTTTTATGAATTAGAAAACTGAGCCCAGAGCTAAGGCCGGGGACCATTCACAGACGGCCCTAATTCCACAACAAGGCAAACCCCCCCCAAACCATCAAAAGGAAAACTCTCCCAGGATGGCTATGCATTTAAAGCAGTTTTAACCCTAATTTGTCTGTGAAACTGTGTCTCATAGGCTATTTTTATGTTTACACTTATGAAAAATGGAATTAGAATTTTAATTTGACTCGAGCAACCTCCCATTTAGAGGTTTGTTCGCCCACAGGCCACGGGCTTCATACCAAGGCAAACCCTGCTCTCAGCCAAGCCCAGCCTGTGCCCAAGCTCCCGAGCCCGAGTGAGCCCTTCCCACCTGTGCAGCCAAGAGCCAAAAGGGCCCGGGGTACCAGTGCTCCCAAAGCAGCCCCGGGAACAGTTCCCTCTGGAGCACACCTCCTGCTGCTCACAGATCCTGCTCTTGCTTCCACTCGGTTCAGCGAGAGTAGGAGCAGCCCCAAGTCTAGTCATAGTACAAGATTTTATTGCTGTCATGATAATTAATGGCTACTTACAGGGAGATTTTAATGAGTGCCTGCACGTTTTTTTGTTTGCCTCTTAACTGGGTCATAAAGGAGGAGTCCCAAGTGGTTTCCTGGATTTGCAGTACAATAGGGACCTCTACAGGCGTTTTCCTGCTCCGAGCAAGGGTCGGGACAGGTAAGGGCAGTCACACCCGAGCTCCGTGACACACAGACCACGGAGCAGCCAGCACTGGGTTCCGTGCCGGCATTCCCTGAAATCAGCAGAGCTGTCTATAATAAGGCTTGAGCTGACTGAATGCAGCCTTCAGATTATTTATCTGCATCGAGCAAATTGTCAAACACTTACACTTGGCCATGATATTTTTCAGAATAGCTCTAAAAGTTAAAACACAAACAGAAAATCTGCATTCATATCACACAAAAGAGAGAGAACTAAAAGGAATATTCCAAAAACTCTTGCCTCTTGTCATGGAACTTGCATTTTACCAAATCTGACCCATCTTTCCACTCTCTCAAGACTTACTCTGTTATTGATCTACTCAAGCACCATTTCTTAAAAGAACTCACTGAAGAGTGATCTACTTTTTAAAAAGGTTTGATGCTTGATGTCTCTCCAACACGTGACTTTAATCCCTCCTTGTTTGAGCTCTCCACAGAACATCATTCTTAAAGCCTTGCTTCCTAGGGATGATCTAGAGGCAATCCACTAAGATCTGCAACTTTCAGGGGTGACAGGAGATATTCTGAACCTAACTATGAAATCAATTACGTTGCAAAATTAGCCTTCTACCTGTAGGGTGCTTTGCCACCTACAACGTGGACCAGAAATGAAAGAAAACATAACGGGTGTAAAGAATTACAAACCTCTAAAATTTTGCTGAGAGGAATATGATTTTTTGGGCTTGATTGTTGGTTTTGGGGTGTGTTTTGGGGTGGGGTTTTTTTTTTTCATTTCCTTTTTTTTTTTGCATGAGCTAGGAAGTAACCAGTTTCACATCTCGTTCTTAGCACACAAACACAAAGCACTGCTGCAGCAGCACAAATCAGACTTGTACTGTACTGTAAGTGGGATGGAGACGAAACCCTTGTGTGTCATTATCCGAATATCCTGTGGGTTACTACAAATAAGAGAAAATGTCCAAGGAAAAACTGTCTCCTACCTGCCTGCCAGCTACCAGTGTGCCCTGGCAGACAAGCAGGACAGGGACACTGCACACTCAAACCATCAATCCAGCTCCTTACACTTGGTTCCAAAACCAAACACAGTGTCTTAAAATCCATCTTTTTCCCAGGCTTGCATCTCACTGTTTCAAACAGACCTTGCTGGGATCAGGGAAACTGCAGGCCACCCAAACACCTGAGCAGAACAGAGGAGTTGAATTCAGGGAAGATGTTCCAGGGGCAGCCCAGCACACATCTGCACAGTGGCTACAGATGCCAGAGAAGCAGGTTCAGGGCTGGGTGGCTTAAGGGCAACTTAGCTCGAGATGTGCTGCAGGAAAGGCCAGTGTGGTTCCACAGTCTGGATCATTCACAGGGCAAGGGCTCTGGCCTTCAGAAAGGAAGACCCCACTCTTTGATGTCTCTGGCTTGGCCCTGCTGAGCTGCTGCCCCTCACAGCTGAGGCAGCCCTACCTGAAAGTCACACAAACACAGGGGCTCCTCTCAAAATGAGAGTTTTTGGCACATGCAGCTGTAATGGGAAGGAGAAGCTTACAACTCTCTTAATTATGCCACTACAGAAAGTCTGAGCCTGATAAATGAGCCAGGAAAGATGATCCTGATCCTCTGACAGGCCAGTTCTGCAGGAAATTCAGCACCGTAAGCAGCAAGACACCATTCCAGGCTGGCAGCATCTGTCACTGATCAAGGCAGGGCTCAGCAGGGCTGACTGCAGGAAGGGATCTGAGGCCATGCAGATTCCCTCAGTTCAAGTGCACCGTGAGTCAGCCCCACAGCACTGCCTTGCACACAGCTGGGGCTGGCTCTGAGCCTGTGCTGCTGCAGGACGGGCACACAGCACCCAGGTGGGGAGGAACCCATGATACCACTTGGAAAAAGGAAACTAAAATAAAGCAAGCATTTTTTCCTTCCTTCCCGTCTCTATCTTTTCATTTTATTTTCATTCTGCCCTGACACAACATGGCATTTTGCAGGCTCATCTGGTGTTTCACTCTCCCGTTTTTCTTCCACTAGCAGAAAAATATCAAACTCTCACTTCCAAAGCTGCCTTGGACCTGAAAGCCAACTAGAAAAACTTATTTCACAATGTAGTCTTCTGGTACACTGTGGCTCTTAAGTAGACCTTCCTTTTCACTTACACGTAACCAAACATTGAAAAGATGAAGTTAGTGCATGTTGCTGTAGGCACAAAATGGCTCAGTGCAATGAGTAAATACCACTGAAGAGGCACTTGCATACCCTGCAGGGCACCTGCTTGGCCTCTGGCACACAAATGGTGCAACAAACATCAGAAAGAGGACATGCACAACAAGATGCATCCCTCTCCAACAGTTTTCTTCGGGCAAGGTAAAGTCCAGTTGTTCCAACTCATGCCCGTAGAACTTCTGTGACAAGCGCCCTGGCCCCTGAGCCAGGTGTGTAGGGTGTGTGTCTGCTCCAAGACACAGCCCCTGCAGTGGAGAAGGGCTGGTCCTTGGGAAGTGAATCCAACACTGGCAGTGTCAGTGCAGGAAGAGACAAGTCACTGGGAGAGGGAGAGGCACTCACGTGAAAAAAACTCAAAGGCTTTTCATCCTTTGGATATTCAGCTCTACAACTTTCTCCAGAGATCAGTGAGAAAGATCTCTCACCTGTGTTTTCCTAATAACATGCACATTTTCAATTTCCATGTGAGATGGATGAAGGGTGTCTTTTGTTCACGAGGATGTGCAGACTGCATTTTACCCCTAATTGCCCTCTCACCACACACGTGTGACAGAAAATGTTAGGGCCAATACCGAAACCTGACTTGAAGACTGTGAAAAGCACAATTTATCTGGCAGTGGAACCTAAGAAAAGGTCATAAGAATGGAAAGGAGTAAACAGTGCCAAGATTTGAAGATTTGACTAGAGACGAAAAAGATGAAAAGGCTGAGAGCTGGAAAAGGCTGGCGTCAATGTGCAGAAGAGAGGGCTGGTGTCCATCCACTCCTCAGCAGCAGTCCTCGTTGTGTGTGCATACACTGCTTGCTCCCTCTGCTACACGGGATTCCAAGCCGTGTGTGATGTGCTGTTCTCCTTACTGGAATCACAGAGTCAAGATGGCTCAGCTACTGACCAGATCCCCACAGAAGTCCCCGGAAATTCAGGCCATTCAAGGGCCACATGCACCTTTAAACCCCACCTTTCATACACATTTCAGCATTGTCACCATAGTCTCACAAATGCAGTTTTTTCAACAAACAACATGCATCCTTGTTGTGAAAATTAACTCTCATAACAAAAAAACTGAGCTTTCAGCAGGGCACTTGAATGTAGGAGCTGATATTACCCCACAAGATCTCCAAGTACCAACCGCCTTTCTTAGGTAGATGGCTGAGCACAGCAGATGAGTCTACAATGTGCAACAGCTGAAATGAAAACCTCTGAGAGTCATCTCTGGTCACAGCAGCACCAGCAAACATTCCAGCTGTCAGTGACAAGTCCCAGTTAGTGCCACCATCCTCAGAAGCCATTTTCTTCCCTTTTCCTTTAACCAAATCTTCATACCTTCCCAATTCTTTGTAGATAAGATGAATAGAACCAAGCATCCGATATGCAATCTGTTAGCCCAGGGTGGAACTGAATGCCTAAAACAGTGTCTTTCTTATTTGAGTGGTCACATTGTACCCATGTGCAAATGGAATAGAGCAAGTCTGTTTCCTGGGACAAGCTGCAGTGAAGTTTCATAACAAAATTTCAGCTTCTCTAGCGATTCAAGTCTTGTGCAGAAATCAGGGTGCAGCAAGGCAATGTTCTGCCTGAAATTCCATGGAACTGAGGAGCTGCTATGGGATGTTTGGGAAGAGGAGAGTTCTTTGTCACAAGCACGCTCCATAATCCATTTTGAGAAAGGCGTCTGGTTGCTTTGCTTATGAAAACAATAAGACCACTCCATGCCCAGAGGTGTCATGGTCTAATTTTCCAGGAATTGCCTACTCTCTCTATTCTAATTTAAGGATTGTTTCAAGAACCAGACATTTTCCTCAGTCCAAAGCATTTTTTGTCCTTTATGGCACCAGAAGCCCATACTTGACCCAGCAGACCAAAGGCAACTGTTGGGTCGGGAGAGGGCTGTTTATCCAAACACACAGCCAGCAGACACCCAAATCAGAACCCAAATGGTTTGTGGCCAGTGCATGATGTCCAGAATACAGCTCCACTGTGAGGGAGGTGATGCTTATCCTCCAGAGGAGCAAAAAAGAACAAAACCAAACAAAATACACAGAAGACCAAAGCAGAACACTGTACGAGCACTTGAAATGACTGAAAACAGCTCAAACCAACCAGTCCTCCCACGGCAAACACCGGGCACAGCACAGTGCCCAGAGGCCTGCCAGTGTCCTCAGCTGCTGGGACCTGAGCATGAGCCACCCTCACCCAAGAGAGGGAGTCTCTCCACCATGACACAGAGCCTGTCAGTGCTGAGGAGCTCCCCTGGCGCACTCCTCTGGCGTTCCCTGGAGTCCATCTCCTCAGCGAGGCCGGGGCACGTGTCCGATGGCGTGGGCCCTTCCTCTTGGGCAGGCAAACTGCTGAGCGTCCAGGCCAGGGCTTCACAGCGCCGTCTCGCCCACGCACACCTTGTAGGGGGATTTCAGTTTCCTGCATCTAAAATGGACACCACCACGGGATTTATATCAGCCAAACCTCCAACTGCAGCAGCCTGCACAGAACCGAAATCTACTCCCCTAACTCACTTGGGCAGCCCAGAGGAACCCCACGTTTCAGACAACCGCGCCACCAGCCTCACCGGTAAATCAGAGGTAGGGGGTGTTAGTTCCTTTGAGATCACATCACAGATTAGTAGCAGGCAAACACACAATCCCAATGCCCTCAGAACTCTGCCCACTGAAATTCAGATCAACGTAATCAGAAGGTTTCAGATATCCCATACCTCTTTCTTACATAGCAGTAGATGATGGCGAGTATTCCACTGGTCAGTATTCCTACACCAATTCCCACAGCAATGTAGCGCTCGTAAGAATTATGTGCATATGAATTTAGGGTTAAATGTTCACATCTCTCTCCATTATAACCTGCAAGGCACCTACAAAATAAACACACATCATGTAAAAGTTATTCAGACCTTGTTTTGCTTTCTATTTCGTTAGTTTTCATGAGTTTTAAACAAATCACAAGCAGTCTAAACAAGGAGGGGCTGAACCTGGTGCTCGCTCAGAACCTCTTTCCTCCACCAAGACTACCAGTTGTCCCAGTTTATCTAGTTTAAAGCTAGCTCAAGTACTGCAGTCACAGCAGCAACTGTAGTCTCAACATCCCCTCGTTGTGCAGGGTGTGGACCAAGAGCACTGTGCTCTGCTCATCCTTAGCTGCTGCAATGTCTCCAAAGGCCAAGGCTGCCCACTGTGCACCCTATAGAATTTTAAGGGCACCACAGTCCTGATTCCTGCGTGGTTGTGGAATAAGGGAGTTGTAGCTGATACATTGGAAGATCTCGTTGCCTTCTTAGCAGTCACAGTGAACATCTATTGACGCCTCTACTACTTACTCCAGCACCAGCAGTGATTTGAGACGGCACCATGGCAGTGACCTACAAGGCTGTGAATTCCCCCTCTCCCTTCCTTAGTTTGACACTAGCACAGCACTACAGCCTTGTTAGCAGTCCTGAGGCACCACAGCACTCAGGTCTCTGCCCAACTTTAATCCTGCAAATACCTGAGTGACACTGTGAAGCTGCACATGCAGCACATGAAGAATCAATGCCAGCGTCATTTTTGAAGAACCATCTAATAGGCAGCGTTCCTTACTTGCATATGGGTTTCCTCAGCTCGCTGTGGAAGGCACAGAGCCCATTGATACAATAGCTGTGGTGTTCTTCAAGGCAGGTCTGCATCAGCTTCAAGAGCTTTGGCTGCTCTGTATAATCTACTGTGAAACAGAATAAAGTCATGTTATGCTTAGGACAAAACATCACTTGAATCTATTTTCACACTTGGAGCAGAACAGACACTGTGTGCAGCAAATGCTCAGTTTATCAATTTACTGTGTGCTGTCTCGTGAGCTGATTCAGTCAGCACTGAACAGGGCAAGCTTCTGAGACAGCACAGCTTTGAGAAAGCACAAGCTGTAAATAAATCACTTGCTCTTGAGGAACATGTACAGAAATGACTACGGGAGATTCACACAGCCTAACATCAGCACTACCTAACCTGCAATCCAATCAGATAAACTATCCCAGGAATAGCAGGGGTTTAGGACACAGGGAGAGTATCATTCTCAGTCTGAATTCAATTAATAGTGAATTAATTTTTTATTTTCCTTACCCCAAGACAAACTATTGCATTCCCGCCTGCCAGGTCGGCAGCCATGAGTCTCCCTTCTCCATGGTTTACTGTTAGCTGAGCGTCCCGTGACAGTTGCAAGCTGCCAAGACTGCCTGGACAGTTTTGCTGTGCAGAAGCACGGTCCATGGCTACCAAGGCTCTGAGCTTGTGTTAAATTCTACACAGCACACCTCTTGCCCAGAAAATGCTACCTTGTTCCCTTATTCACGGTGGCTCCAATGGGAATAAAGCAATCGTGGGAACAGGGGTGCAGCAAGCGAGGAGAAAACTCCAAAGCTTCACCATCACTGCAAGCATCTGTTCCAACTGGTCTCTCTACCCAGTTACAGGAATCACTGGTGGGGTGGGGTGTCCAAGCAATGACTTACCATTTCAGGGGACTGCCTCAGTGACAGCTGAAGGTGATTGCCCAACCGAGTGCATGTCAACACCAGCTTTCAGTTATGACCACAAGAAAAATAACATCTTGCAGCAAGGTGACAAGGTCTGCTCAACAAAGGTGACTCAACAAAGGTACAGTAAGCAGAACCCTTCCTTTCTGACTAAGTGCTGAATCAAGGTCTGGAGATAGTACACTCCTGGAATCATTGCCACGGACAGAAGCCCCAAGCCCCCCTGAGGGCAACTTGGGATCTCAGCACACACTTTTCAGGATGAACAGCACCAGCCCCCTAAATTCCCAAACAAATTCCAGTCTGAGCCATTTAATGGCAGGAACCTCTTTCGTGTGCTCTTCTAAGCCGTTTTGGGTTGTTTTTCTCTTCCTCATCTCTGCAGCTTTATCAGAGATGACAAGCAATGGCAAACAGCTGCTCTCGCTAGAGCAACTCTCAGCTTCAGCTGTGAATGATGTGGTTTGGACACCCAAAAGGCATGATGCTATCACTGACACTCAGATCAAACATAATTCCTTTCAGAACAGTGCCTCTCAAACCTGACAGAGTAATGAGACTCTCAGACTGCCAGAGACTTAGAGAGAACAAGTGACAACTCGGGTCTGCCTGAAAAATGACATGTTGGCTTACTGCACTTCCTCAGGAAAAGCTACAAAGGTGGGAGAAGCATGTCTTCTTTCAGAATGAACTTGTAATGGCTGAGAACAGGGCATCTTATCCATCCTTCTGTGGATAAAAAGTTGCCCTCAAGTTTCTCTTCACACTGTGGGGCCTAGAAACACAATGCCAAGGAGGAAGTTGGTGCTGGCTAAATAGGAGCTCTAGTATCCAGCTCTGGCTCCTTTCTGGCTGGCGCTGGGAATGCTGCTCACAACGTCTGGAGACAGGATGGTTGGCTAAGAGCACAGTCAAAGGACCAAGCCTCAGAAGGACAGACTTCAGGACCAAGTGAAGAAAGGGCAGTTTTCATGAAGAAAAGTATATTTTTGGGACTGGAGATGGATGACCCTACTGGCTGCACAGAAGCACTGTATACTGTTCCCTGATGAGGAAAGCACAGGAGAAAGCACGTGGTCAGCACAGAGCTGCAGGGCTCAGCATCCTAAGGAGATCCAGGATGGCAGGGACTTGCAAAAGCCTATTCTGGTTAGGTCTAAAGTACCTGCAGAACAGCCACCTAAGCTCTGCAGGGAAGAGTTTCAGAAAATGGACAATGGCACATGGGCACTTTTCCCAGGAGCCTCCTCAAACACTTGGGCACCAAGTGCTTTGAACCACCATTTCAGCACAAAGTGCACTAGAAAATCACTAAAAAAAAAAAAAAAACCTTTAATGGGAGCCTCTAGCCAGCATTTCCCACTGCCCAAAGTACCACTCTTCTGCTAGGCCCTGAGAAGGTGTCTACTGCACAGGTTTAGTTTTTCACTTGCATCTCTTCCACGCAGGGAAGAAAAAAAATGAGGAAGGTACAAATTCACACCCTAGAGGCACAAAATCCCCAGCCACTTCTACCCCAACTTCCACCAAATGGATTTCCACATCCCAAAATCCCTCCTCACTCAAACCAGCGCTGCCGAGAGGTGGCAGACTTCCACCTACCCACATCTACAGCAAACCTGGCTTTGTGCAGGTACAGGAACCTCTTCCCTGAGTGCTGCTGTCATTAGAAACCCAGGTGAGCCTGGAGCAGCCTGCCTAGAAAGCACTTGAGACAAACCAATACATTCTTCCATCGCTGTCAGGAGGAACAGCTTGGTCCATTGTGGCTAACATCACCTATTAAGTCTACACGCAAAAATTACATGTGCTAATTATTTTGACATTGCAAAGTACAAACTACCTCTGAAATAATGAGTCTCGAAAACAAAAAGGATGGTTTCCTAGTCTGCCCCAGAGCATTATGTTAATTCCTATCATACTGTCCGCCTAGATACTAAACAAGCTGTTGAATAAACAGGTCCATGTGCCCTTTCATGTCACGTGAGGAAAGAGAAACATGCCGTGTAAGCACTTGACAGCTGCCTGCAACTGAGTCATTCAAACAGATACACCTGGCAAGATCTGACATGAAATCAAGGCTACAGGTACTTGGAAGCCCGGGCTTGCCAAAACTAACAGACTGGCAACAAAAGGAGTCAGCCAGTGAGACCATGACAGCTCAGTCCTCAAGTATGGTGCATCAGGGAGGAAAGGCGGTGGGAAAGGGGAGGCAGGGACGGGCTCAGTCCCAGGTCCAGGGCCTCCTTTAGAGGCTGCATGGAACCAGCAATTAAGAGATTCCATTTTTTTTTCCCAGTGCAACCAGGACTTGCAAGCAAGTCCTACTGCGGGCTGCCCATTTTGCTACCAAGGCTCTCCGTCAGCCCCAACACCACCAAAAGTTCTTTGTCCAAGCTGTGCCAGCTCCCAGCTCCTCCCCATGACCTTTCCCCCCTCTCTGCTCATCTCTCAGCCCAAAACTCCCCGGCCCCAGCACTGGGGACAGGTAAAGCCTTGGCATAAATGAAGGAAATAGGGCTAGATCTTGTAAATAGCAGACAAAGAGATGGAGCAGAAATTGATGGGTTTTCCACAAACAGCATCTCAGTCCCTAACCGGTTTGAATCCCACAGGGAACTAGCAGAAATTCGTGCTCTTAGAACCCAGTATTATTGAACCCCAGCAGTGAATCTTATTATGAACCCACAGTGCACAGAAATGGAAGCTACCAGGAAACTGGAGAGATTCAGTAAGCTGCTCTGGTGTCTTTTTAAGCATTTCTTTTCCATCTTCCTTCTGAAAAGGCTGTTCATTAACTTTGCACTGGCTTTCTAAGAGGTCCACCAAAATACACTTTTAACTCCCTGTGTAAATGTGTGCTCAAATACTTATGAATTTGATTCTACCTTTGAGTGGAATTCTCTCAAAGGAAAATGTTCGTGTCCAGTTCACTACCACAGCTCCAGCTGCCACACAGGTTCACACACTACAGCAGACATGGCTGTGACCCTGTCAATCAGCCTCCTCTTTGTTGAAACATGACCCATCGCTCCTGCTTTCTAGAAACAACACAAACAGGACACTTAATGAGCCACAAGGTATTTCCACTTCATTATCCTCCTGTTTGCTGTATGCAGCTCTGCAAGAACCGTGTCACAGAGAGACTAAACCAGACCACAGTGCTGCACTGATAAACCCAAGTACTGCGGTCAAGAATCAACACCTTACCCGTGTCACATGAGTGTGTATACATATTTTATGTGTGCATACATCTATATATATAAGGAACCCACACATAGTATGTGTATGGATGAATGTATATATAACACTGTACCACTATGAGAGATCAGAAATTAAAAGAAAATAGCTGGACTTGTTATAAGAAAAAAAAAAAGCTCATGGATCTATTAAAAAAAGCTTGGAAGACATCCTGTGATGACTCAGAATTAACAGAAGATGATTTGTATGCCTGTTTATATGCCTTGTAAAGCATAGACACATTAAGAAGTATTGCAGTTAGATTCCTCTCCTCCTTTACTAACCTGCCAAAACCTCATTCCCAGATCGCACAGCTCTCCCAAAGCAATGACATCACCAGCATCTCAGGTAACATCAAGAATGCAGCTGGCAGGATAAACACAGCTCTGCTCTCAGATGTTGGCAGGCAGAAGAGCCCGAGTTCACATTTCATTCAGAAAAGAGAAAGGAAGAAGGGAGAGAGCCAGAACTCTGAGGAGGGCTGTGAAAGCCCAGACAGCCAAAAGCAAAACTGCAAAGACAGAAACTACAGACTAACAACTCGTGAGAGGCATCGCTCCAAGTTGTGCCTGTTCATTCTCACTTCTGCGTGTTAAGGTGAGGACAGGCACAAACCAAGCACCAGGTAAAAGCAAAAGAAATTTCCATCAGAAACTCAGATCGTTAGCCTTAAAACGTCTTCTTCAAATTATGACTCAATTTGAGTTAAATGATCCTTCAGCTGCTCATTGCTGAGCCTACCCCATCTGGGTGACACCTCTTATTCTACAGAGGCTTCAAAGGCTCCATGAAGAAATCAGCTCATCCCACAAATTAAACTCACAAATCCAAGTGTCCAAGGGATGGAGCATCAGAGCAGCTAACATCACAGATTTTGGTTTGTTGGTTGGGTTTTTTTTCCTAATTGACAGATTAACAGAGACAAACAGAACAAAAAAAGCAATACCTTCAG